ACGAGTACGAGGTCATCGAGACCATCGGCACCGGCGCCTACGGTGTCGTCAGCTCCGCCCGACGCCGCGACACCGGTGAGACGGGCGCCTGGGCCCCCCCAGGACGCCTGGGTCCCCTTGGGTGGGCGATCGGGGGGCTCCCGGACGCCTGGGTCCCCTTGGGTGGGCGATTGGGGGGCACCAAGACGCCTGGGTCCCCTTGGGTGGAGGTTTCCCGGACGCCCGCGTCCCCTTGGGTGCTCGGGTGGGCACCCTGGGGGCCGTCGGGGCGGGTGACGAGCCCCCCGGACGCCTGGGTCCGTGGGACGTCAGGTCAGCAGGTGGCCATCAAGAAGATCCCCAACGCCTTTGACGTGGTGACCAACGCCAAGCGGACCCTGCGGGAGCTGAAGATCCTCAAGCACTTCAAGCACGACAACATCATCGGCATCAAGGACATCCTCAAGCCCACCGTCCCTTACGGCGAGTTCCGCTCCGTGTGCGTGCCCCGGATGCCTGGGTCCCCGCCACGGTGTCCCCTCAGATGCCTGGGTCCGTGGGGTGGTGGTGGCCCCCACAGGGACGTCTCCATCCCCTCCTGGGTGCTCTTGCGGGGCAGGAGAACGTGTGGGATGGAGCCCGCTTGGCCAGTTGGGTCCGTTGGGTGGTGGTGGCCCCCATAGGGACGTTCCCAGCCCCCCTGGCCACTCCCGGGGGGCAGCAGGACACGTGGGATGGAGCCCACCTGGCCACCGGGGCTCATGGGGCGGGGCGGTGCCCACGGGGACGTCTCCAGCCCCTCCCGGACGCCTGGGTCCCCCTTCCTGCCTGCAGCTACGTGGTGCTGGACCTGATGGAGAGCGACCTCCACCAGATCATCCACTCGGCGCAGCCGTTGACGCTGGAGCACGTCCGCTACTTCCTCTACCAGCTCCTGCGGGGCCTGAAGTACATCCACTCGGCCAACGTCCTCCACCGCGACCTGAAGCCGAGCAACCTCTTGGTGAACGAGAACTGCGAGCTGAAGATCGGGGACTTCGGCATGGCCCGGGGGCTGGGGGCTGACCCGCGGCACGCCAAGGCCTTCCTCACCGAGTACGTGGCCACCCGCTGGTACCGGGCGCCAGAGCTGCTGCTCTCGCTCCACCGCTACACCCGCGCCATTGACATGTGGTCGGTTGGGTGCATCTTCGCCGAGATGTTGGGTCGCCGGCAGCTCTTCCCCGGCAGGAACTATGTCCATCAGCTGCAGCTCATCATGGCCGTGCTGGGAACGCCTCCGGCCACCGTCATGGCTGCCATCGGCGCCGAACGGGTGCGGGCGTACGTGCAGAGCCTGCCGCCGCGGCCGGCGGTGCCTTGGGAGAGCCTCTTCGGCGACGCCGAGCCGGCGGCGTTGGCGCTGTTGGGTCGGATGCTGCGCTTTGACCCACGGGAGCGGGTGGGAGTGGCCGAGGCGCTGCGGCACCCATTTTTGGCCAAGTACCACGACCCTGAGGACGAGCCCGAGTGCGTCCCCGCCTTCGATTTTGCCTTCGACCGCCAGGCGCTCACCAAGGAGGAGATCAAGGCGGCCATCGTGGCCGAGATCGCCGACTTCCATGCCCGCCGTGACGGTATCCGGCGGCAAATTGCCTTCGCCCCGGCCGGCGGCACCGAAAGCACAGCCGGCGGAGCCGGTGTCGGTGTCAACTCGGCCAATGGTGCCATGGCCAACGTTAACGTCCCCATGGGCGACATCAACGCGGCCAACGTTGGCGTCAACACAACTAACGTCAACGTCGCCAACGTCAGCATGGCCAACGCCAATGTCAATATGGCCAACGCCAATGTCAATATGGCCAACGTCAACGTGGTCAACTCCAGTGTCAACATGGCCAACATCAACATGGGCAACGTCAGCATGGCCAATGCCAGCGTCACCGTGGCCAACGCCAGTGTCAACGTGGCCAATGCTGCCATGGCCAACGTCAACGTGGCCAACGTCAGCATGGCCAACGCTGCCATGGCCAACATCAGTGCCACCATGAACAGCAATGTCAATGTGGCCAACGCCGCCATGGGCAACGTCAACGCCACCATGGCCAACGTCAACGCAGCCAATGTCAACGTGTCCAATGCCACAGTGACCAGTGTTGGCCCCGCCTGGCCCTGCGCTGACGTGGACATGCCGAGCCCTGGCCCCGCCCCTGCCCCCGACTGCCCAATGGACTCTCCCCGGGTGAAGGCGGAGCCAGGGGCCCCCGTGGCACCCAAGCGGGACGGTGCCATCTCCGACGACACCAAGGCCGCCCTCAAGGCTGCTCTGCTCAAGTCGGCCATGAGGAACAAGAGCAAAGGTGAGGGGCGCCTGGAGGCCGGGGTCCCCCGAGGGGCTGGGGTGCGGCGGGGGCTCCTGGGTCCCCCGATGCGTTAAAGGGTTGGGTTGGGGGCGCCTTCCCAAATTCTTGGTTGCCAGATGTTGGTTGCGGTTGGGTTGGTGGCTCCATCCCCGGACTCCTGCGTCCCAGGGGTTGGGTTGAGGTTGGGGTTGGGTTGGGTTGGTGGCTCCGTCCCTGATCTCCTGCGTTCCCCTCAGAGCCGCCGTGCGCGGCCCCGGAGGTGCCGGAGGGCCGGAAGCCGGTGACGGCAGCGGAACGGCAGCGGGAGCGGGAGGAGAAGCGCCGGCGGCGGCAGGAGCGGGCGAAGGAGCGGGAGAAGAAGCAACGGGAGCGG